TTATTAATATTATCCATTAGATTAAGCGTTAGTGAAGAATACAGGCATACAATCAAATGGTAACAAATATGGCAAACACTAGTCATCGGGAATTTGACTCGTTTTTTGTGATAAAATACGTGTTTTTTGTAATATATTTAATAAAATCTATTAATACTTATATTTTAGATCAATATATTTGTTGAATTTTATTTAAAAGACCTTTTATTGACTTAAATAAACATTCATTTTTAGATATTTTTAGAAAACAATACTTTATTTATTTATTAATTATTGAAATGAAGCGACGATTTATGTATCAAAAAGTATTGACACAAAACTGTAATAATTGCATGATTTGAAAGCACTTTTAACTCGTTCTCGCATTACATGACTATTGCTTTGAGTTTATGACAACTTTATAGATCTGTTTGTCTGTCTTGTTGTCACTCGTGGCGTGTCTTCCAGTGATTTCTGGCCATCTATTGTGCGGACAATACTATTGATGTCATGAATAATCGGTGTGAGAGTGAAGAATGGCTCAAACAATACCAACAAATGGTTTCAATGGTTTGTATCACTGCTTCCCTGAAGGCATTGCAATTGTAATCATTATATAACAATTTGTTATTAACAAATGCTTTCAAATAATTTACATTTCATTTATGCAAAACATATTCAATTATATAAGTGTTGAGAACTGATCACCACTTGTGTCCGTCACTTCTTATGCACTTTATCTACAATTATATCATAACTATAGAAATGGTTTGATTTGTAGTAATTTTGAAATGCTTTTCATTGAATTGAACTCTAAATTTAAACAATGTGTTAATTAATACCAGATTTGATATTAAACATTATAATCACTAATATATAGACCAATATATAGTTAGGTCCTAATGTCTTAATCAATTAATTAATGTAAATTTAGTAATATTTGATTGAAGCGCCAAATGCTATGAATTTGTGCCAATAGTGTACAGAATGTGTGATTAAATGGATTAGCGATTAATGATTAGTGATTATAATGTATATGAATGGATGAGATGTGTTGTTTGTGATAGTATTGGTCAGATTAATAGATTATAGTTATCTGTTATGTAGTGATCATTGATCACAATTAAGTCAGGCATTGCTGAGCTGTGGCTGTAGTGATAGAGACTGTAATCAAATGTTATAATGTTTTTGAGCGCTATTTGTGTTTGAAGTGAGTGTTTGTCGTAAGGATTGGTGTGTTTTGTGCTAACAATCAGTCAATCACTGCATGTATTCACGCATTCATTGTTGTATTGAATGAGCGCTCAAACCAACCATACATTCAATCAATCATTTCATTTAATTATCGCTTTAATTCATTCAATACATTGTCATTGTCTCACAGATGGACACCATTAACACCAACGACACGCCCGACACCACCGCTCAGGACAAGCCCTCGCAATCGGCCGACACTTCTTCGGCAATGATGTACACGTTTTGCCGCTTTTTTTGTTACCATATTATTAATGCTATTTGTGTTTAAATGCCATCTCTTCAGACCCGACGAGGAGACAGATCTGGCGGTCGAGGCGTTGAATCAACTAAATCTCGGCAAACGTCACCTTCTGGTGGAGGACTACTCGTCGGCCGTAATGTGTCTGCAAGAGTCGTGTCAACTCTTTGATCAGAGGTTTAGGATCGGCGCCGAAGAGTGCGGCGAAGCCTATCTCTACTACGGAATCGCTTTACTAGAGTTGGCCCGACTTGAAGACGGACTCTTCGACGGTGTTGTCCACACCAAACGTAATGCCGCCGAAGATATTTGTTTTGAACAAATATGTGATTAATATTGTATTGTTTTAGTCGCGGACACAGAGACGGAGGACGAGGAGGAGGAAGAGGCCGACGACGAAGAGGAGGAAGAAGAGGCAGGAAATGGCAAAACGGAAGACAAAGCAGAAGACAAAGCGGAAAAATGTATAGTTTTGCTAATTTGTGAATCAATTTTATTTAATGGATCGCTATTTTAGCCGACGATAAGAAAACGGATACCGAAGAGGATATCGAAGATTCGGACGAAGAGAAGAAGAAGCGATTGAATGCCGCGAAAGAAGCCGACACTGAAAGTGCAAATGTGATGCAATCGAGTGCTTCGGCGGACGCACCGCCCGAATGCGTTGCCTCGACCTCTAAGGGCGAGACGAGTGCCGCCAAAGACGACGACACGGAAGACGAGGCGTCGAATATAGAGGTCGCGTGGGAAGTGCTGTGTCTCGCGAAGGGTGTGTTCGAGGCCTTCATCGAGAAGAACGACAATAAACTTAAATTATCGGAAACTTACCAAAAGTTGGGAGAAATTAGTATTGAATGGGAAAACAATACGAATGCTATCGATCTCCTCAACCGATGCCTCACTTTCAGGAAAGAAATTCTCTCAGAAGACGATAGACTTATTGCCGAAACGTATGAATTATTATTATTGCCAATGATTTCTGTAATTGTAAATGAATTTTAATTGATTGAATCAATAGTTACTATCAGTTGGGAATCGCGCACTCTTTTAGTAGTGATATTCAAAACGCAAACAATTGCTTCCAAAGCGCTATTCAAGTGATTGAGACCCGAATTGTAAACCAAAAGTCAAGATTAGCCACAATTCCTGCCGAAGACTTGGAGACGACTGAGAAAATAAAGCGAGAATTGACTCAATTGGAGAGTTTATTACCCGAAATGAGAGTCAAGATCGAGGACTCAAACGATCAAATGAATAACGAAAAGGAAGGACTCCAACGACAAGAGAGCGAACG